AACACTACACAATCCAGGAGGGCGGTGGAGCGGAGGCGGAACAGCGGGAGGGACGGAGGGCCAGGTCCATGTAAAGATGTAAGACCCTGAGGCAGGACCGGCAAAACAGGGGACCATGATGGAGCCGGCAGAAGGGGTGGAGCTGAGGACCACCACGGCAGAGCAGACGGGTCCAAGGATCGCCACGGCGGAGCAGAAGACCACCAGCGCAGGACAGAAGGCCACCACGGCAGAGCAGACGGAACAGGAGCCCACCAGTGCGGAGCAGACAGGGCAGAAGACCTCCACGGTGGAGCAGATGGAGTTGGAGCCCACCAGTGCAGAGCAGACAGGACAGAAGACCTCCACGGCGGAGCATACAGAGCAGGAGCCCACCAGTGCGGAGCAGACAGGACAGAAGACCTCCACGGTGGAGCATACAGAGCGGGAGCTACAGAAGGCCACCACGGCAGAGCAGATGGAGCAGGAGCCCACCAGTGCGGAGCAGACAGGGCAGAAGACCTCCACGGCGGAGCAGACGGAGTTGGAGCCCACCAGTGCAGAGCAGACAGGACAGAAGACCTCCACGGCGGAGCATACAGAGCAGGAGCCCACCAGGGCGGAACAGAAGAGCACCATGACGGAACAGGCTGATCAGGAACCCACAGCAGAGATCGGAGCCTAGGAAAACTGAGACACAAAAAACAGAGAGAGCATATACAGTCTCAAGGACTGGGGCAGGGACCACAAGAAGTTAATTAATTGAGAATGGACAGACAGACATTTCAGAATCAGATTTAACTGCAGAGTTTAAACCAACAGACAGTTCACAATTGGATGCATTGACTGACACTGGAATGGCAGACAGTTCAGTGATTGAAGCAGGATAAACAGACTGTCAATTGTGACTTGATTTGACTCAGGAATGGAAGTTGTGACATAACGGGGCGCTGTCGTGTCCGCCATTTTGCGATCAGGCTCCGCTGTCGCCGCCATCTTGTGAGTGTACTCTGGTACAGCCGCCATTTCAGTTATAGACAATGTGTCGCGTTCTTCCTCCGTGATACCCACAGTAAACAAAGAGCCAACAGTCAACAAAGCATAATCCATAAACTGAGCGAGTGACGAACGTGGAC